AAGCTCTCTTTCTTACTCAGGTAGAAATAAGATACTCTTAGAGGAAAGTGTCCTTCATACATAGGTGTCATGTCCCACCTTTGATGTGTGAGTTGGCACAGCATAGAGGAGAGAATAGTCATCAGAAATCTGATTTAGAAAATCCCTTGTATTTCTCTGGTCCTACACTATATATATTTAAAGGCATATATTTAATTGTTATAGCTTAGAAATAATAAACATACTAATTATGTTGAAAACTATATTAAATTAGTAATAAAATATATTAAAAATCAAGAAGTTCAACTCTGGGAAATAAATATGTATTTCCTGAAGAAGGGTCCTACAGAATGTATCAGTGAGTAGCATCATATGTTTTTTAATGAAGAAAAATTGTGCGAGGGTTAAAAAAATACTGTAATTCATATTCTAACTAAGGAGTATAAATTCATATATTATTTCTTCAATTTCTTCAATTATTAATGTCTATATGTCCTCTTGGAGCTTATCGCTATGAAATTCAACAACACTTTCCACAGGAATTATTCATGACAGATTCCGAAAACCAGAGATGAGTGAAACACACAGCAAAGCAGTGTGGAATATTCAAAAGTGTGTTTCAGGAAGCCCAAATATATATTCTGCTGAAAGCCAAGAGAGCTGAAGCGTAAGGGGAAAATCAGACAAACACAGCTGACCAGGGAAATACAGCAAGCAATAAAAGAATGGAAAAAGGCATGCAAGACAGATAAATCAATGGGGTCATTTCTTTGAGCAGGGATAAACAAGTCTAAAAATAAGCAAATAAGGGGATGATCACAAAAAATGGGAAATGGACAGAAAATTGCAGAAGCTATAAGGACAAACAATAACAGATTTCAGAAATCTACGAGAAACAAGAGGTCAATGGGAGAGACGGTCATCTTCGTACGTGGTCGGGAGGGGAAGTTGGTGTCAGAGGCTGCTGGGAAGCTGGCAGGGCTTTCCCCTCAGCATGCTCGCTGGAGGGGCCGGGGGGGAATGTGCCAGAAACAGAGAGAAGTGTCCTGGAGGCCGAATCTGAAAAATTAATGAAACAAAGGATGAGAGCAGAACAGGTTAAGAAAGAGAAAGGAAAAAAATAGGGCAGATAAACAGTAGGCTCCAGGTCTGGTGGCCTGTTTCCGAAGTTTCTGAAGGCATGGGTATTTTTTTTAACTCTCAGACTATAGAGTCTATAGTACATGAGGTATATATAAGCTATTTGAGATATATAGTTGAAGAGCTGAAGTTTCAACTCAGCTCTTTGTTGAAGAGCTTTGTTGAAAATACTAAGACAGTATTTTAAAGGTTTTGTAAGAAAAACCCGTACAATGGTAGCTATATAAACTATAAATTCATGCACAGGGGAACCCAAATTCAGGGTTGTAGAGGAAATGGGCAGCACATTGGTAGAAACTAATTAGGAAAGAGTTTACAAAAGCTGAGTTGAAGTTAAAGTAACTGATTTCCTTGGAAAAGTGACATATTCCCTAGTCTTTAGTGCTAGACCCAACCCGTAAAATATACAAATGTTTGTTTCTGTTAATTGCTGATGTGTCCTCAATTTTAATTCCATGAGCAAAGGCACTGAGAATAAATAAAGTAGAAAACTAAAGTAAAATTCACAACTTTACTTGAATAGCTGAGTTGCAAATAGATATTTAATTAGATTTATAAAAGTATCAAAGTCGATCAGGCAGCTAACTGGCATTGATTTCCATTGCCAGTTATGCACTTCCAGGGGAGACCGAATCCCAAGTAATGTCTTAGAGTCTCACAAACTTTATAAAATGTTATGTAGAAAAGCATAAAACCATGAAAAGAAAAGATTAAAGATGACCAAAAATGGTCATGACAACAATTTCTTTCTAACTTTGACCAATAATTTGTATCTAAAATTCATGCAATTATACTTAGAAGCCAAATACAAAAATTAAACAACAGTTCAAAACAAAATAGACATGTGTGTTATCCTACTGTGTTCTTCCCCAGTTCCCAGACTATTGTGAGTTCCGAAGGGGCATTTTTGGAGGGCATTACTAGGTGAAAATTTTTGCAAGTTTTTAGTGTTCTTAATTGAGCAAAGATCAGGGCAGGATGGGGTTAATGTTCTGGCTTTAACATGACAAAATTCAAGTTTGCATCATCTCCAGTGGCCAAAAATTTCCACAGCTACGCATCTACTGGTGCCCTTTAGCCTTGATGGTTTTAGCTCAGAGCTGATGAAGTGTCATCTCTACCTCTTACAATGTTCTAAGAAGGTTATGGTAAGAGGAAGGAATGAAATCTTGGGGATTGCTCGCGCTAAGCCTACTCTCATCTTTGAAAATAAAGATCAGGATTTTGAGAAAGTACCATTTAATGATAATGGCATTGAAGAAACTATAGCGAGGGTAATATGCATCACAAACAGAAGGAACAGAAACCAAGAAAGCAAGACGTGTTCACTCAATAAATGTTATCCTGTCTGCTTAAATCCCATTGAGCTGATATGCAAGTTTCTAAACTGTACATGAGCCCCAGGCTGTGACCCACTCCTGTTTTCCAGGATGCAGCCTCTGTTAGGCACCTAAATGAAACAGGTTCCTCCCTAATTATCCAGCTGTTTCCCTGGGCACTGCACACACTCTGAAATTCCAGTTCTGAGGAAAAAATTGCCTGCCTTCTCTCAGAGCTCCATATGGAGAGGTTAAATATGCAGCTCCTGAACTGCCATAACACCAGGGGAAGTGCTAAAGTAAACCTGGCGTGGTCAGAACTAGAACGAACAGTGCTCCTCTTTTGCGCCAGGTTTTAGGCACTGTCCAGACTTATGGAGATTGAACTCCCCTTTCTGCCCTGACTGTAATGATGTAGGATATTTTCCGTGAAAATATGTCCCACCTTTCCTCCTGATTCTGCGCAGCTGGGTCCTGACCAAGAGACGGACTCACAGGGCAAAAGGCAAGAGAGTCATTTGGCAGTGAACAATAGTGATCACTTAGGGACAAGGATTTCTGCCATAAGTTTTACACTGAAGCATCTTTGGATAGAAACAAGTATAGTCCAAAGAGAAAACACCAGAAGCTTAGGCATCCTCTTTTCACAGGTTTAAGGCTCTTAAAATTAGCGAAGGTTTGGTCTTTTGCTTGCCTGCTGTGCAGCAGACTGAGATTCTTGCAGCCAGCTGCAAAGGGTTTTTCCTTCTAGAAGAGGATGCTCTTCCCCAGGAAGGTCTCGCTACCTGCTGGATGGAGCGTGGTCCTGGGATCTGGAGGATGTGGGTCTCTTCCCGTTATAGCCTGAACGATTAGGCCTCAACTTTGGTGTCGGTGTCTGTAAACTTTATTCCATTAGGACTACTACCCCGTACCGACTCCTAAATGAGGAGGATTGGAATCTAGTTAGGTGGAGGTACTTAAAATTTACTCAGTATTTCTTGTTAGTGTTAATGGAGGGAGGTGTTTAATTTAGGCATGCTGGATTAGACTTTAAAGACACCCATAGTCCCTACACAGAGAGAGGGGTGCCTGTATTATGCAGGGAAGGTCTCCCTTAGCAGGTTTTTGATGATGGATGCCATCTTTTGTGACCGTATATGTTCCTTAGATACATGTGTGCCAGGCAGACTGAGCCAGCCCTCCTGTGAAGTGCTTTAAAATTTAGGTAAGACAATGGCTAAAAGTTAGACATTTAAATAAAATGGTTAGGCACTTACATAAAAAGCTTGTTACCTAAGTGGCAGTTTAAGTAATTGGGATGCACAGCTGCTAGGATGCAACTAAATGAGACCAAGATCAAGACCATGCAGACACCACAAAGAGTGCTTCTGTAGTACTAAATGCAGTGAAACCCCCTCAGTGGTCTGTCAATAGAATATGAAACATCATTAGAGTGGAAGAAAATTATAAAGATCCTCAATGTTTTGTAATTGGAATAAAAACAACAAAAATACCATGTAAAATAGGAAGTCATAAGTAGATATGCAGAGAGGGCTAGAAAGAACACTTTAAATGTCCCAAAACTAGTTAATCACAGGAAGAAGACTAAAAACCAATGTAGCCTGAGTAGCATTTATAATCACACAACAAAAAAGTTCAGAGAGGAATTTCTTTAAACAAAAAGTAATTATGTGTGCAATCACTCCGGCTATAGGGGTTACACAAGGGTGATCACATTCAACAAACATAGATTATATGACCTTTGAGAAACAGGTGTCTGTTCTGGTAGAAGACCAGAACTCTGAAATGCTATTTATGTTGCAGTGCATTAAAGTTATTGATGAGGAAGTGGTACTCAGCTTTGAAAAATTTTGATGTCCTTCACTGAAAAAGTATTTTGGTTATGGTTTGATTTTTTTCAATGTGAGAACACTTCCAACACTGGCCATGAAAATTGTTGGGTTTGGTTGTGTTGGGGAGCTTGCTTTTCCATTTACCCAGCCTTGTAGCATAAAATGGAGCATAGCAGTGGAGAATTTAAGAGCAATTCATCATTTATAACAGCAAACAATAGCATTAAGAATGTGATTGTATTTTCATTATTTAAATAGCATTGAAACATATCTTAATTGTACACAATCAAAACCTTACTGAATGTTACACAGTTATGAAGCATTTCTTTATTCCTGATTATTGTACTGATAGCTAACAGGTAGGATAAGATTGCTGTTTTTTAAACTATATTCATCTGCCTTAGAAAAGAGTGTAACATGCAGAAGAGGGAAAAGAATGAGAAGGAAAAACATACGTTTGTATCCATTTTGTAACTGTTAAGCTGTCATGTAAGTGTGACACTTTCAGGCAAATAATAGTCATTTGCAATTTCACAGGTTTTGTAAGTGTCCTTCCCTTGGTCATTATTGCCTAAGTAGCATTTTGGTTTGAAAACATACATTTTGAGAACAGCAACTAATCATGGTGTAGAATTAGAATATATGACTAAATGACATGAGTTACACAATCTTACCTACTGAAATCTGCAGGATAGTGTAATAATTTACATCTTTTATTTTTACACAGTGTTTATGGCTGTCCTTTGGCAAAAAAACGAAAAACACAAGATAAGCAACCCCAAGAACCAGCCCCCAAAAGAAAGCCCTTTGTGGTTAAAGCAGACAACTCTTCGGTAGATGAGTGCTATGAAACTGATGGAACAGAGGAGATGGATGAAAAGGAAGAGGAAGAAGAGGAAGAGGATGAAGAAGAGGAGGAATATTCTGATGATAATGAGGAGCAAGGTGATGATGAGGAGGATGATGAGGAGATAGATCGAGAAGAAGAGGAGATTGAAGAGGAAGAAGAGGAGGATGAAGAGGAGGGTGAAGATGTGGAGGATGAAGAGGAGGAGGAAGAAGAGGAGGAGGAAGAAGAGGAGGAGGAGGAGGAAGAACGTGGTAATAATCAGAGTATTAGTAAAAAGTAAACAATGTGTGTTTTCTGGGTTAATCTTCTAGTGTGGTGTATAAGGATTTAGCTGTGCATTTCTCATTAAAGCTAATGGAAGTCATGCAGTTAAATCTCTCTGCTCCACACTGAAAATATACCCCACTGTGTTCTCTTAACATTTATTTTAATAAGTCTGTCTTCCAAATATTTTTTAATACACCAGCACTCACATTTCAACCAAGGAGGGTGGAGGTGTGTTTGTGCTAGAAATGCTTGCATAAAATGTAATCCTAGTAGTGGATTAATGCATGCAGTTACCAGGAGAATATTCATGAAGGTACAAGCAAAGCATCAGCTACAGCTGGGTGCCTGTACTGATCATTTGCAAGTGTATTTTCTGGATCTGCTTATATAATGTCAATGGTTGCCCACATAAATGCTGTCACAAGTTTGAAGATAATTTTTTGTGAGCAAAAATGGGCCTGTTCCCTTTGAAAATTTTGCCCCATACTTCCCCCTACCCCATGAAACTATTCAGAATGAACTATTATAATATACTTTGGTTCTTTGAGACTTGAATGCGGTGTACTTTAGTTGATTCTATTACAAATATAGAGTGTCAGAGGTTTACATAGATAAAGTCTTTCTAAAATTCAGATATTTTGTTATCATACAATGGCATAAATGCCATTTAGACATACAGGTCACTGGTAGTAACAAATTAATGTAGTAACAATGCAATTAACCTATTCACCTTTCTCTTTTTTGGGATATTGGACTCTATATAACCAGTATTTTCAAAATATGTAATCAGTATCCATTTACTCAAGAGTCCATATGCTGATGACAGACATCTTAATGCACTGGGGTGAAATGAAAGAATCATGCAAAAATTAATGAGCTATCTAAAAAGTATTTTGTTCCCATTTCCAGGGAACACGTTTTTGGTTGGGTAGATTCACCTTTCTAACCAATAAAAATATAAGAAAAGCTTTCAGCACTCCTCAGTTGGATTCCTCTTAGGAACCAGGTATGAAAGTTGTATGACTTTTGTTTCAGCATTCTGTAAGGTCAGATCTTAAATCCTATAGAAAGACTTTGGAAGTATTCTTTCCATTTGGGCAAGACGGTGGCCAGCTGGGTGGCTATAAGCATTTTCTCAGATATCTGAATCTGTAGCATTTCCTCAATTGCTTAAATTTGCCAACAAAATTGGTAGAGCATACATGGCCAATCTTAAAAGTTATGTGAGTTTGATGCAACAGGGAAGCCATTTCCTTTTGCAGGGAACTCTGCTGTTTCAGAACCTGGAAGAGAAGCTGTATTAGATCAGGCTGATGTGCACCTGCTATTGCTATCCTGATGGGCAAGTGCAGGATGTCTAGCAGTTTCTTTAAGAGATAATGGTGACTGAGCTTGTTGGTGCTTAGGTTATGGTGCAACTTCTGCTGTGATTTCAGCTGAGGTGAAAAACTTTGAATCTACACTATCAAAAATGATAAAAGAAAAAAAAGAAAACTAAGCAAAACTCAAGAGCTCAAGAAAATTGCTTCTGGCAGGCCAGCAGGCTTGATACTCAGTTTACTTTTATTGTCATAATGAAACACAGTGGTTTTCTTATTCCAACACAGTTACACATGCAGTTAGCGGTCCTAATCAATCTACAGAGACTGACATTGCTTTTTGACTGCTTTCCTTCCATATATAGTAGGCTGTGGTTAAGAACTGCAAAAATGCTACAGAAGTACCTGTATTAGCTGCTCTACATATTACATGGAATCAAAACCTACACAGGTCAAGTTTTTCTTAGGATCCCATGTTATTCCAGTAATAATACATACGTAAATTAATAAATATATATATGTTCTATGTCAAATATTAGTCATTAAGACAAAAATCCTCATAAAATGGGAAAAGTGATAATAGAATTTTATGAGAAAAATATTTAATGATCTTTTGAGAATCAACATAGTAATCATTATGCAGTAATCCTAGTTAGAGCACAGCTGATTTACAAGAAAGAGTTACTAACAATTAATGAGGAATGTAGTATGGAGTTTCTTATGTCAATGCCAAGGAGTAGAGAGTGGTGACAGTTTGTTCTTGGTGAGGTTTAGAAGCTAATCAATAAATCAGATTTTTTTAGATAGTTTATTTGCTATTTATTTCGATAGGGATTTCGCTTTCTTCCACTCATAACATAAGCAGCTCTGGTGGAATTTGGACTGTTGATTTTCCAGGGAAACAAAGCGCAATCAAAGTCAGGGGTTCTAAAACTACGTGGTCCAAATATGGCACTTGCCTTTATCTATTGACTATATGGGAAAATTAGGTCTGTCAGCTCTGAATTTAGTTGTCTCAATCATTCGCTGCTCACTACAATATAGATACTGTAGTGAACCACCATCCTTCTTTTAAGGCACCTTAGCAAGAAGTCTCACTGTGTCTTAGTGTTCTTATCCCCAGAAACAAAGTGCAGAATTAGCCACTGGACACCAGGATGCCTGCACAGTTCTCATAAAAGTTTCTGTCACTTGTGCTGTAGATTATAACAGTTCAGAAAATTTCCATAAGTAACTCTAGTCTAGGTGGACAAAACAGTTAAAATTATAATTATCAGTGACAGAAGAATTCCATAGGAATACAGAGGCAGCAATTAGAGGGGGAGAGGGGTAGAGAGGAGGAATATAAGGTATTTTACCGTTTCTTAGACAAAATTCAGTTTTCTGTTAGAAAAGTATAAATCCTGGGAAACTCAGGTACCTCACTGGCATCTCATTGCCCATATTTTTTGTTAAAAGAAAGTGAATTTTGGATTGGATTCTCAGAGGATATAGATAATGTACAGGTAATGTAGGTATACAGTTCTTACTGAAAATACTTGGACTTTCACTGAAACCATCCGGCCTTTTTGAAAATCACATCTTTCTCGTCATTGATAAACTAAAGGACTTGGAAAATACCGATGTATCCTGAAGAAATACTCTTATAAGTCTCAAAATACCAACTTAAAATACTAAAAAAATAATCAAACTTTTTTAGATGAGTCCCAAATTCTGTGCTCGTATTTCTGTATAGAATCAATTGAACCAAAATTAATGCTTAATTAATTCCCCAGCAATGGCTGGCATATCCTCTTTAAATTTCCATTAAATGTACTGAATCCTTTTGAAGAACAGGTATCTATCCATCTATGAATAGATTTGAGAAGGCACTACCACTAAAGGAAAGATAAATCTTTCCAATTTCCCTTATATCCCATAAAGAAAGGACAGATGTTATGATAACCTAACCTGTAAATTGCAATACAAATGGGAAGGAGTGAGAGAAAATTCCGCTTTGGGAGTGCCCCTTCTTTGTGATGGCAACTGCTGAGAACCTTGGGATTGAAATCTGAAGCGTACATTTGGTTTGCAAGGCAAACTGAAGTATTTTCTCCTGAGAAGAGCTTGCTTCAGGTAGTGGAGTCCCAAAGACTGTTTCACAAAGCTTTTCTGTTAGAGAAAGAAATCTCTGTTGGAGGAGGTCCTGGAACAGGTGTTCCAAGGCACCATTTAGCCCATAGCACATGAAGACATTCAAGATGGCTTGTATTCCAGGTATTTCATAATCTGCCAAGGGCAGGAGGAGTCAGGCAGATTCTAGACCTAAGGAAATTTGATACATCGATCAAATCCATTTCACAGATGATGCTACAAAAACTATCACAATTTCCCAAGAGGTGAATTGTTCGTATGTATAAATCTTTTAGACACTCCCTTGTATTTTCTAATAAACTCAAGGTAGCTGGCATATACAATATACCAAAATGTGGTACTGCACCTAATTTTTCAGGGGAAATACAGTGCAAAAATAGTTGTAAAACATAGATAGCAGTGTATATTCAGAGGAGACATAATATTTATATTTATTTTAAAATAAATAAAAGCTAGCACATGGACATTGAGATAGATGTTCTACCTGTTTTCACATTTCTTTAAATTGTAGGATTGTTTTTAAAGATCTGGTAATGTTTGGCTTTTTTTCCTTCACTTGCAAGTACTTAACACAGACACGCAGGCCCTCATAATTTGAAATCCACCTATCATCAGCTCTACTAAGATTGTTAGTGCCCTCTGCTATCTTCCTGATTCCCTCATCAGATTGCTTCTGAAGCGCTTATGTCCTCTAAGCAAGAGGAGCAAACACCAATCTAAAGATGAAAGAAGCACGTGTGCTGAGGAAGCTGTGGTGGTGCACAGCTTTCCAACTGTGCTTGCCGCTGGAGACACTCTACATCTTGATGCAGATCTGTATTAGCAAGGTTGCCTGTCCAGCCTGCTGACCAGTAATCACATTCATTTATTTAAACTATTAGCAGGAAAGTGGTCATCTGTTTGGTGAACACAGTAGGTGTTCGGTATTAATCAGAGCAGAGAGCTAGACTCGTGTACCTTATAGGCAAAACACCTAATAGAAGAAAAGTATAGATTTAAATTAAGAGTCCAGAAAGCATAACTTCACTGCTTAGGACAACGTACATGGAAAGAAGTGCATTTTTCAGGGCCAAAGAAGACTAAGTAAATACCTGACAGTTTCACAAGGCAAAGCAAATCTTAACCCTTCGCTACTAAACTCTATTGCTGTATTGTTTCACCTCCTTCATAAAAGAAAATACCCTGCAGTTAGAGTATCTCACCAATAACAATATGAAGAACAGAAAATAAATAGAGTTGCAGCTGGAAAACATTTATCCTGGCCATTGTAGTCACTTCCTCTGGCTAAGAAGTTAAAGTTGCCTTTCTGGTCTAGTTACAAAGTGCTCAAGCCTGGGAGTGGTTGGGTCAAACCGCAGCGTAAGAACTTTTATTCATACCTTCTTTCTGCATTGAAGGTGCAAACATGGATTGCATCGTGTTTTGCTGTTTAGCTTTTTTTATTATTTCATGTAGAGACGTTCAGACTAAACATTTTGTCTGAAAATTTTTTTTTGAAATAATGATTAAAAGATTTGGAACAAGTAGTTCAG